TGTGCAGTCAAGCATTTGATATATTCTTCTTGAGTTGTGCCCCTTTTGGTACCATTATTAATAATTCATATGAGCAACAAACCAAACATCGTTGGAAGAAGTGCCCTAAATCGTAGCAGACATTATGTGAAAATGTTCTGTTCTGACAATCAGATGATTGTACAGAGCCGTGTCCGTTTCTTTTCATCTTTAAAATTGTTCATTTGTGTGTTTATAAGTACGTGTATATTTTATGCAAACGTTATGTAGCTGTTGGCCACATGCAATATTAATTATACACATTTCACTGACACTACTGAACTCATTATTAGATGAATTATTTACAAGCCATGAACTTTGAATATTCAATGTAGTAGTTCCTTGAAAAAGTAAAATATTCTTGCAAATATAAAAAGTAAATTCATCTAGTACAATTACAGTCACAAAACTCTGTGTTCATGGTTGCATTTTATGACCCAGCATCCCTTGAGAGGACTACAATGTTATTAATGACCATCTCTACGTCGTTTGGTTTCTGCTGGCTGAAATAGGTATGTTGCTGACGCACCCATGGGCACCCGCAGCATAGATCAAGAGGGTTGACGTGATCCCCCCGAAATCAAATATATATATATATATATATATATATATATATATATATATATATATATATATATATATATATATATATATATAGTTTCAGACTGCTTACTATGCTAACTACACAACTAACTCTCACGGTCGTAACTGACTGACCCACCCACCCCACCCCTTGCAAAATACCATGCGGGTACCAATGGACGCGCCGTCTCTATGGAAGGACTATAGTGATATCCGTATCAGTCTGTCCATAACTTCGTTCGTATAAAGTCTTATGTTTACATTTTTCAATTCCACCTCGATATTTCTGTACCACAACAAGATTTTACAAGCTTTTGAAGATGACCAGAATTTGGCCATACTCTACGTAGTTATGACCTATAAATGACTTGTAAGAAGTAATCCACAGAGATTTGAACATTCTTATTTCACTGCTTTCGCTTTCTCTAATTTCATTGTATTGTCTGTGCAAGTTCATCTCAACATGGTCTCGGTAGACTTAAAACAATGATCCGATTTCGACAATATTTTACAAGGCTATATGACCCTTGAACGACTCGGGCATCTCATGTCACTGGCACACTCTAGGAAGCATATGGGGGAACAAGGTGGGGGGGGGGAGCGATTTCCAACACATCTGAATATAAATTTCTCCGAAGCAAGGTCTCAAATGATTTTGATGAAGACCAGATTTTGAAAACAGTCTACAAAGTCGTTGTCATTTGACCGGCGTACAAAGCAATGCATCAGTATGTTATGAAAACGCTTGCATCAACACCATTGGCTTAAAACGACAAAAAGTTTTCTGGAAAAGTTGAAATAATGCCTCAGAGGTGTTTGATGATCATAATGCCTCAGAAGTGTTTGATAATCATCATACCTCAGAGGTGTTTGATGATCATAATACCTCAGAAGTATTGGATAATCATAATACCTCAGAGGTGTTTGATAATCATAATACCTCAGAGGTGTTTGATAATCATAATACCTCAGAGGTGTTTGATAATTATAATGCCTAGGAGGTGTTTGATGATCACAATGCCTCAGAGGTGTTTGATAATCTGAAGATTAATATTTTATTTGACAAAGTTCTGGCGCTTGATTGACTATGAACGACTTCAGACTTTTAAAACTAGCATTTATATTTTCTTTTCTTTCCGTTCATATTAGCTTTAATGTTTTACTGAATTTCTTCCTGAATTAATGCGTTTGATAGATGCACTAGTACATTACGTTCCTAGTCACTAGCCATGTTAGTCGCATAGGTGGCGCTCACCAGTTATTATGTACTTTTGAGAGAGTGATGTATGTAAGGTGAAGTTGTTTGCATTTTAAACATGCACAGTGGAGAGAATGTTGGCATACCTATATACTACTTTCATGTAATGTGGATGAAATTTCTTTGGATATTGTACTTTTGGAAATTTTAAATGATCTTAGGACACTGCTAACTAAAATGACTGCTACCTTGTGCTCCAAAAATCAACCTAAATTTGTCTAAAGTACACTATTCTTGGCAGCTATTAAAATATGGAAAATAAATTTTGCCAAACTAGATAATACCAGCTTCTAAAAGTGCAATGACTGAATTACCAAATACATAAAATGTAAAAAAAAAAAGTTATCGGCTCTTTTTTGTACAATTTACCTCTGAAGTTCGAGAAGTGAAAATGAGCAAGTAGAGCTAGCACTTTTTTGAAAGATGCACATCTGGAGTAAGGCCAAGCTGTATACTCTCTAACCCATATTACACCCATCAATCATACATCAAAATAAAGGGAATTAAAGGTTCTTTGAACAACACCTAAGATATACAAAGTCTCTTTTAAATAACCAGTATAACTAGTGAGGAAACCCGGGGAATCTCTTTGTCTTTAAAATTCTAACCCTATGCTAAATACGAAACTGTAGAGCGCCACCATAACGTTCTGAAATATGTCTATAAATGACGTGACGCATTTGTGGTGTCACACATTTGTGACGATGTGTGATGAGTGGTAGGGGGTGCTTAAGAAATGTGACGGCACATCAAAGTGCGCAACTTTGAAAAAATGTTCCACTTAATTTTCATTCTTAAATTTTTTATTTCTTACAATTTAGTTAATGACGTTTTAAGTGGCTTCACGCGTGTCGTGAATGAGCTCAAAGTAGTCTTCGAACTACAAACACCCCTACTAGCCCCAATAGTAGTTTATTCCAAATAGAATTCTTCCATTTCCGGTCGTCTGGTGTCGACAAAGCGAGGTTGAAATAATCTTTGGGGGAGATAGGGCAGAGCTCTGTGACTTCATATTTTAGGGTTCTGATTTTTAATAACCACGCGAGACAAGGGGAAAGGATACAAATCGGCCAAAATCGCGAGACGTCATTTATAGATCGCCCCTAACCAAGAGGGAACTATACTGATGTAAAGTATTTACTGAAAATTTGTACGTTCTACAGGCGGCAAAGTTCAGATAGGCAAAATTAACATAACACAAGGATGAGTCTAAACGTGTCATAGTCTGCATGTATACTATAATATTTAGTCGTTTTGTCGTTTTCAGCCTTTAATAAATATATTTTTCTCGTTTTCAGCCTTTAATAAATATATATTTTGTTTGATAAAATACATAATCCATAAATCAAATACGACTTTTTCTATACCAAAATATTGTTAAAAAGCATACTGATTTGGTCTTGTCTGCCCCGGGAAACTGCTTAGTACGATTACATAAAGCCACCCTATACAGACAACTGAACTGTGGTAGGCATGTTTATGAACGTACATTGTACCAAAGTACTAGACGTGTTGGCTCCTTTATTCCCTGGTTTAGAACCAATAGTATATTACATTTTCAAACAAAAAGAAGATCGATTGAACATTCTGTAAACATCAAAAACAAAATTCTGCAGTACTAGACGAAGTCTTATTCATCCAGACATTAATGTTGCCTTGAAATAGGCCAAAATGGCTTAGTGACCACAGCAAATTCAGGGTATGGCTGATTATATAGTTCTTTTTCAGAGGGTTTTCCTCGCCGTCATCAAGTCCTATTATTTTCAATATTCACTCAACACATAGAGCTCTTCCGACAGTATAATAAGCCTTAATACAATATCCCAAGCAATACGCTGACAGCTTTTGGACCTCTCGATTAAGCGCATTAAAATATTCTTTAGTCTTATAGTTTCTGTAAATACGAATATAACACTACGTATCCAGAACTCAGCATATACTACCGGACTGGTAATATAATATAAATAAATTAACATATATTCATTAAAAATATAGAATATTTAAAAGGGTAAAGAATTGCATGTTTCTAATACTATATGGAAATTACATCTGGTAGGCATAGTTACGTGTGTGTATATATATATATATATATATATATATATATATATATATATATATATATATATATATATATATATATATATATATATATATATATATATATACAGATGCCACCAGAAGAGGTGGTTAGTATTAAGTCCCATTGCAGCATGTTTTCGTTACAGCGGTTTTATTTTTATTTTCTCGACATGGTGGACGTTGTCTTTTTAATCTACATGTTTTACAAATAAATATGTTTATTGCATGTGCGTCTTTTTCAGGATCATTCTTTTTCTGAGCCAGCATATATTTTTAGAGTGATTTATATGCCTTTTTGGAAGAATAATGGAAGAATATATATATATATATATATATATATATATATATATATATATATATATATATATATATATATATATATATATATATATATATATATATATTAGCACGACCAGGCAAAAAGCGAATACATTTTCAGATATCCAGTTTTGCAGACTTATTCATTGGCATAAAAAAATTTCTGAGATGGTCAAAACTTATTTTTGTTTTCAATTTTCAATTTTGAAAATTTTGAACTGCACGATTAAGTAAACACAGTTTAATCATATAGAGTAGTGTATGTCTAATCCATATATATATATATATATATATATATATATATATATATATATATATATATCCATACTAAATATTGTCGCAATTAAAACATTATCTCAGTTTTTTCCACTTTGTTAAAACTATTTAGATTTAGCATGATTATCAATTTGTTATGACAATCTTGGTAACAATGTTAAATAAAAAGCACTTGAGTTCGAGAACTGAACTTTTGTCTGCATATATATATATATTTGCACGCGTAGTTTAGCGTGTGTGTATATTTATGATTTGGATTTTTAACGTAGCTTCAACAGTTTTGCAGTCATATCATTACGACATCTGCAGTGTGGCAGTTTATAGTGATGTCTAGCACTGAGACATCGTGCGGCAGACTTGTATCATGATGTCCCACCCAATCAAATTATCCTGACACCATGCCGACAAGTCCTATCACTAACTTCTTAATGCTGAGCGCCAAGCAAGACAGCTGTTATTGCCATTTTTGTGAATCTTTGGTATGACTCGTCCGGGATAGAACCCACGACCTCCCTCATCCGAGGCGGACGCTCTAACCACTAGGCCACCAGAGCGGTAACTTGTAATTTAATTTTTGAATATTACGAAATTATTCTTATTTAGTATGGGGTCATTCGTGTAGCACAAACAGAACTCTAGTGTTAGCTGTTAGAGATTTTTTTAAGAATAGACCTTCCTAGCAATAATATTGTTGCACGCAAGAGGTCTCATACCGAGAGAATCAAGCACCTGCAAGAGCTTGTGCTGATAGGAGAAATTCTGGGCATAAAATTTACATGGAATGATTGAACGTCTATACATAGTCCTAAATTTTGTAAATAAATAAGGTTAAAACGATGAAACTGTAAAGCATTTGTCATTCTGTTAGCCTGGTCAGAGTAAATTGATTCATATTGATTTCAGAACAAATCTGAGACGACTTCGAAGACTGCCACAATTGCAGAATACTTTTATTCTGTTACTTTCTTTAGTGGAAGCTGTTCAATTTTATTTGAGAAAATTAACTTCTCTTTGTTCTTTGTGTATAGGTATCTTAACCCAAAGGACTAATGCTTCCCAATTACTATCACCTCTAGATGTCAAAATTTTCAAAAACAAAGCACCTTGAATGTGTTTATTTTATTTTTCTTTTGATGAAAATTTGCAAATATCTTAATGGACGCACTGTTGTAAATAATGCATTCAAACTAGTGATGTCAATGCATTTGTTAACACCTATTTTGTCCAGTAATATTTTCAGTCCCATTTTGCTAAGCAAATTTGTTATTTCTAGCAGTCGGATTGTTTATAATAGAAACAGCTAAAACTGGGCGATTTTCAGAGCCATTAATTTAATGAAAATGGACGCGTTTCATTAGGTTGCACAATAAAGTAATGTTTTGACTTATATCTTTCTTATCTCTCCGGCAAATCACAGGTGATACAGACGTATCATATTTCCTACGGTGTGTCGTTGTTGGCATGTTGTAGGATCTAGGATCTGCTTGAAAAACAATGGAAACTGGAACGGATTGTTTAGATTTCCGTTAGGATCCTTTCAATATTCTGAAGAAATACCGTGAAAAGGATGGTATCTAAATATAAACAATGATACTTCAACGGATTTTACCGGGCTTTCGGTCAAGACTGATTTTACATTTACACTTTCCTGAAATCATCTAGGCAACTACGTTTTGCGGATGGTTTCTGGTCTGCTTCCTTGCTCAGAAAATCGGATATTTCATACTTTGTCATCTATCATCGCTCTTGAAAAAGCTAAACAGCGTGGTGAATCAGAGAGACATATCAGTATTTTGATGTTGTTCCACTTATGCTAAAATGTCTCAAGAACCAGTATTCATTGCAAAATATAATGTACTCATATTTAATGGCCCAACTCTCTACCCAACAACCAACAATTATAATTGATACAGTCTCACTTACAAGTCTGCGAAACAGCATCGCTGAAAAGCAACCGACCACTCCACACACAACTCCACCTTTTCTGGCTGTCCACTCATTACTTAGGTACCTGCCTATAGGCCCAGCCCTAGGGCAAGGCGAACAAGGCAACCGCCTTGGGTCCTGCGCTTCTCCGCAAAGCAATGTTTTGGCTTGAGGCCCTGGGCTCATCACTTGCTGCATTGGGCCCCTCACATCCAAGGACCGGGCTTGCCCACCTACCCCTTGTACATTCCGTCTTATAAAAACGCGTTACTCGTAAAGACCCATATCAACTTTGATGCTTTAACAAGTGCCACTTAAGCAATTTCAGTAACTGACAATCATTTATACTAATGTACCGTTTATACTAACGTACCATTTATTCTAATGTATCGTTTATAAGATGTATCGCTTATACTAATAAATCGTTTATACTAATGTACCGTTTATTCTAATGCATCGTGTATACCATTGAATCGTTTATACTATTGTGTCGTTTATACTAGTGAATCTATTATACTAATGAATCGTTTATACTAATGTATCGTTTATGATAATGAATCGTTTATACTAATGTCGTTTATACTAATGTATCGTTTATACTAATGTATCGTTTATACTAAAGAATCGGATATACTAATGTATCGTTTATACTAATAAATCGGTTAGAGTAATGAATCGATTAGACTAATGTATCGTTTATACCAATGCAGTGTTTATACTAATGTATCGTTTATGCTAATGTATCGATTATAGTAATGTATCGTTTATACTAATGAATCTTTTTTTACAAATGAATCGTTTATACTAATGTATCAATTTTACTAATTAATCGTTATACTAAGGTATCGTTAAAAATAATGTACCGTTTATACTAATGAATAGTTTATACTAATGTACCATTTATACTAATGTTGCGTTTATACTAATGTACCGTTTATACTAATGTACCATTTATAATAATATACCATTTATATTAATGTACCGTTTATACTAATGTACCGTTTATATTAATGTACCATTTATATTAATGTACCGTTTATGCAAATGTACCGTTTATACTAATGTATCAATTTTACTAATTATTCGTTTATACTAAGGTATAGTTAAAAAATAATGTACCATTTCTACTAATGTACCGTTTATACTAATGTACCATTTATATTAATGTACCGTTTATATTAATGTACCGTTTATACTAACATATATTGATTTGATATATATATATATATATATATATATATATATATATATATATATATATATATATATATATATATATATGCTGCAAAGTCAACACTAACATAATAATCATCAAAAACGATGCTACTACTACCACCACCACCACCACCACAAGCAAAACCACCGCTACTAGTACAACTACTTCTTGTAATACTAATAATATTACATCTACTACTGATATTCTGCTATTACTAACAATGACAACGCCATTATCAGCAATAATGACTGCGACTGCGACGACAGGGACTATAACTCAGCAACATTAAGTTCATTTTCGAATCTTCACTGATCAACAAATTACTTGTGGAATATTTTTCTGCTGTTCCTAAACTGCGCTGGCGATGTTAATGTATCAAAGAGCATTCGGTTTTCAAGGGATTTCCCCGTCATAAATCTCTTTGATTAATTGCAATTTAATGGCCACCTCTCCGTACACAAGTGCTTGAAATTAGTTTTCAGTCTTCTCAAGACAAGCGCACTTCATATGAAAGCACTCAAACAGTCCCAGTTGGCATAAGCCTTTCGCTGATTATGAGCACATACAGGATCAGTTTAGAGATAGTTGTCAATATTAAGTAATTCAGTACCATACAAAGTCAAATATTTTACAATGGCTTTTCTTGCATTTTGTTATAGAGCTTAAAACGTGCTGCAGAATGTCTATTCAGCAGTCCGCTGGGAACCAGGAGACGTAGAGATAATTTGTTTCCAGAATTGCAATTTTCTATCAATCATGCAATTAATTAGTTTACATTTCACTATCAAATGTATGTATGCATGTATGTTTGTATTTATACGGTATTTTTCCTAAATTATATGACAACATTAATAAGAAAAATATTTTTCATAATAAAATGTAAACAACCGTGTTTAAAGTTCACGATAAAATTATTTTTAAACTTTTTAATTATTCTACGTTATTTATGTATAAAAGTAGAATTGAAATATACGCATTTTTAAAACAGATTTTGCAAAAGCATTTTGTAGGAAAGTACCTTGTTTGTAGGTTTATCTGTATTAGGATACAATAAATAATCCTGCCAATTCATTTTATAGAAACTTGGTTGATAGTTCCACCCTAAATCTATACTAAACCCCAACAATATCCATGCAAGAATTTTTTTTTCAGATCGAATTAGTGAACAAGGAATTTTAAACAAAGTATCTTTGGATTTTCCTCTCACTTAATTATAATAATTGAATTGTTTTTCTTATGCAATTTCAGATGTATTCCTCACGTCTCACATTTGACTCCCTACTCTTTGTTTTTGTTTGGTGTCATCGAGAAAATTTAAAATAATCAGATAAATGCCAAATTTGAAGTGAAATTTAATTTGTTCTGAACTAATTATTTAAATCTATTTGTAAAAAACCCCAAAGCGTGCCAATGAAATACCAGAACGCTTTTAATGTTTTAACTGTCTTGATGACGCAAGATATACGTTTATGTGGTTAAAAATTTAGATCTTTCATATAACAGACACAGTTGCCATGGAAATGGCTTTTACTACAAACCGGATATCATATTCTCTGATTCAGAAAGAATGAAAATCGCATAAACAAACCAATAGACATCATTACTGAAATCAGCTCAAAACTTTTGCTATTTGTATTGCAAAACAAATGCCAGCTTTCGATAAGAACTAGAAAATTATGAGCTCCTAGCCATACGACTGAAGTCCGGTTTCATTGTCTTGATTTGTCACTGGATACGTTAATGGAACGAGGAAAGTCTCCAAACTTGGTACGTTATGTGGATGCAATACTAATGTGAAAATAATTTACAATTGGTCTGGTCAAATAGTCAAGTTATTTGTTGGCATTATTTATGATACTAACCGGCATTTCTTACCACTTAACACACATTGTTTAGTATTATGTCGGAGTTTTACGCTCTAAGTTTCAAAACTATCTCTTAACGTTAAGTACGATACAATCCATGCGACTTCTTGAAAGTTTGTTAACCAGAAACAAGAACAAACAATAATAATCCGAAGAAAAAAAAAAGGGATTCGCATGAAAGTGAGTATACTTCATAATAAATAAAACCAAGGAATAAAAGCAGTTTAAATTCATTTTCTCCTTCACATATGAAAAATCGTGAATGAGGATAGAGACATTCAGCATTAATTCGACTTAAGAATAAACAACACTCAACCTAATGGTGTATTTGCTGCTTCAAGCCAAGATTTACGCACGTACGACTTTCGTCTTAATAAATTACCTTGCGTTGAGAGAGATGGTGGGGTGGTGATGGAAGGAGAAAGTAATTTTTCAGCAGTAAAAATGGCATATATCGTTTGGATTTGGAAAGCCTCTCTCTCTCTCTCTCTCTCTCTCTCTCTCTCTCTCTCTCTCTCTCTCTCTCTCTCTCTCTCTCTCTCTCTCTCTCTCTCTCTCTCTCTCACCGTTGATATTCTAAAATCAAATAAGCAAGGCTTTTGAATCAACGTGTCATGTACTGTGATATATGGGGCGAGGTTAGCTGTTGGAACTGGTTTCTGAAATGTTATTTAGTTTCATCCTCAATTTTACTTACTGCACCAGTATTCAAGGATTGATTTTTATCTGACTCATGTCACGTTTTTCACTCTGAGTTAATTAGTCTATCGAATGGGTGGTAGCTCTATGCCATTTTTATTTATTTATTTAATTATTTTTTAAAAATTTATTTACATTGCAGAAAATCGTCCACTATACACGTGAGTTTTAAAGAGAGACGGCTTACAAATGTATATGGTATGAAACTGTGTGAATATAATCATTATCGGTGCCTTAACTCTTATACGTAGGAAAAGGGATCTATCCGCTTCTAGGTGTCTAAAATATTACATTTTAAAGATGGAATAATGCTTAACAGGGTAACAACAGTGAATGCATGACATGTTCGAGTCATAAGCACACGTGAAAAGCAGTTTGGGTAAAAGTTGATAAAAGTCGAAACTTCTTTTGCCATCAAGTTCAATCGGATTAGCTCTTTAGCGTCCATAAAATAAATATATATTTGCATTAAGAAGGTCTCGATGCATTTTACCTTTTTATTATAAATAAGTGTCGTACAAAACTTTTATTGTTGGAAAAGACAAGGACACCGTTATTAAGCCGTACATAAAAGAGTCACGAATTCTCTTTTCGGCCCGTGAAAGTGTCTCGAAAGGCTACTCACACCTGCCTTTACTTAGCGATGAGTATTTGTTGATGGAATTATCAATCGGCACAGAGGTGTAGTATATTAGTTCATCTGTTTGTTTAATCAGACACTTGTGATTGCCATGAAGTTGAAGGAATCCGTTTATCGAAACCACCAATTAGACATTGTTAATTCCTTCTCTTTTTTTCCTTCTGAAAATACCTAACTCATGGTTCTAATGTTTGTATTAAACCATTTACGTACCTCCAACGAAATATTAGAACGACTGTTATGTTAATCCATACATCTTTGTTCTTCTTTTAATTATATTGTGGTACCGTCATTACCAAATATAATAGGAACGCAATACAAAGGTGTGTGTGTGTGAGTGTGTGTGTGTGTGTGTGTGTGCTGCATTTGTGTGATTTGGATTTTAACGTAGCTTTAACTCTTTTGCAGTCATATCGCTACCAAGTCTGCAGTGTGACAGTTTATAGTGATGTCTAGCACTGGGGCATCATACCGTAGACATATAGCATCGTGTCCCACCAGTCACATTATCCTGACACCAGGTTGACCGGTCCCAGCACTAACCACTTAATGCTGAACACCAAGCGAGGCAGCTGCTAGTACCATTTTATACGTCTTTGGTATGACTCGGCCGGGCTTTGAACCCGCGACCTCCCGCCTAGGAGGCGTACGCTCTAACCACTAGACAACTGCAAATGCAAGCATACGCGAAACAATATTTTGGATTGCACTGTCACTGAGAACATTCTTACCGACTTGACTGACATGTATTTTCGAAAGTTGTCCACCTACTCTAACCTGAAGCGAACTGCATGCTTTTATCAATGGCAAATTTGCAAACATGATATGAAACAAAGATATTATCTTCAAAAAAGTAGCACGTAGAGAAGAAGTCTCACTTATGGTCTGCGCTGCAAGGCCAATAATTAGAAAGATTTGTGCAGTTGTTATATTCGTTGATTTAATGTTTGCTTCTATTATTTAACCAAGTGTTCCTAAAACCCTTAAACAACTCAAAATAAAAGTGATGGTGTTAATATAGAACAGGGACGTTGTTCTTTTGGAATGCTGACCTATGCGTATTATCTAATATCAGATTAAGACAAACATAGTTTTAAACCCCTTGCTAACAGAGTTTACACAGAATATAAAAGTGTGTTCATCAATCCTTCATTTGTTCCTTGGTTCCTTCATTTCACGTCCATTGCGCAATCCATAGTTTAGACTTTCCTTCACCAGCACCGAAATATTTAATGTATAATGTTAATGCTGTTACTTGTATCTACATTTCTTTCAAGCCGTGTTTATATTGAGGTGTTCCTTTATAACACCATCCATCTCTAGCAACCTACCTTTACAACTTACAACATTATTACGTATATAGTATTCTGCAAAAGTAGCTGAATCATACCTGATGTAGGTCACTGTGACATGTTTTTACTATTGCGTCTAAATTCGTCAAACGTTCTATTAATTTGATCTAGGACATTTGAGTATCTCACAGAAAAACTTACTCAACCTTACCAAAAGTAGGTCACTGTAATATGCTTACGAGCTTGAGCGGCTTTTTATATTTTCTTATATTCTTTCGCTGCACCTCAAATTATCTTGGACACATATACATCTACATCAATAACTATTTTATGTTGATGCATCTTAAACACAACCGATCCATACAAAATGTATGTCACGTTAACCTATTTTTCATTCTTGTATGACTTTTGTATTCTCATATGTGCGTTGGTTACACAACATTTATATTAGACTCATCATTGTACTTTGTTAGCTTACTGCATATCCGTAAGGCGTCAAATTTCACCTTAATACACAACAGTGGTATCTCTCTCTCTCTCTCTCTCTCTCTCTCTCTCTCTCTCTCTCTCTCTCTCTCTCTCTCTCTCTCTCTATATATATATATATATATATATATATATATATATATATATATATATATATATATATATATATACACACATATATATATGTCGGTCGCAAATTGTTTGTTTTTAAAAAAGTCTCATAGTCTATGAGTGTATAATAAATATAAGCAACTGAATGCTTCACCAAAAATCAAAACGAAACCGTGGCCGCCGCCACTGAAGGCTACGACAAAAGTGATTGCTTTTCTACTAATATGGACTCGTAAAAAAGAGCCTAATGTATTTACAGCTTAGTTTTTTACATATATATTTTAATAGTAACGAATCTATTAATACAATATTAAAATTATAAATGGACTCTCGAATATCAGTGCTTTTGTTTGGACGTAGTTTTTGTGAATAAGATGTGACATGGGAAGAGATCACTGAAATTTAGCATGTATTAAAACTAATGAAGTGCGGTAAAGTATATGTTCTTAATCTCCCGTAACCAGCTGGATTCGAGTCACATATATGTCTTTATAAAAATACATTTGGATGGTATAATTAGTTATGTTACATAAATTTTGAAAAGATCAAAAAAATGTGAAATTCCTATTTAATACTTGTAGACTCACATGCTGCACATTCAAAAATACATCCTCAAAATGTGGTAAGGCTGTTTTAAAATCTCATATATGCATAAAATGTGAACTTTTTAATGAATAGCATACGCAATAAGTCAAACTGTTTATTTAATTACATCGTGCATACCAATTTGACTTTATGCTTAGACCGCACCGGTAGCCTAGTGGTAAGAGCGTCCGCCTCGGAGGCGGAAAGTTGTAGATTTGATTCCCGGCCGAGTCACACCAATTAGTCTTTGTCATCTCTAAGGCCTTAGTTAACTATTCTTGCATATCTCATTTGTCTCCACCAGGCCGACATCATTAAATTTCCGTAACTCTCACAAAATATTTTTGGATTTCATCAGCTGGTGAGAGAGAGAGAGAGAGAGAGAGAGAGAGAGAGAGAGAGAGAGAGAGAGAGAGAGAGAGAGAGAGAGAGAGAGAGAGAGAGAGAGAGAGAGAGAGAGAGAGAGAGAGAGGGAGGGAGGGAGGGGTCTGGATCTCTTAAGATAAGGTGTCACTCATAACGGTGTAGATACGGCTACATCTTGGAGAAGCTCTGGCAATGCAAGAGGTACGGAATGCTGTAAAAGAGATAACCAAAGAATATTTTATTCCCAAATTTAATCTCAGCTTATGTTGGTAGCGAATTGATTTTTTTTCCCACCGTAATACAAATACAAATGAATATGAATTCTTTAAAACAATTAAACATTCCATTACATTATAATATTTAAAAAAAGAAAACTCATAAAAATATTGCAAAACTAAGAAGGTCACAACACAAATCTTTAACTTTAGAGGTACTTATTCTATAAGGAAATTTACGAACACAATGGATTCGTACCTATAAAAGAGATAACCAAAGCCTTTCTGATTTTGGAATGAACGAACTAATGACATTGGCAGCCCAGCGCTATTTATACTGATCTAAGCAAGCTGCTGTCCAAGTTTGGTAAAGCGCTAGTGCCTAAGTAAGTAGTCCCAACCCAGAAAGAGGCTCTAGTCTATCCTAATGGAAAAGATTGTATTCATTACATCATAATCAACCTGTTCAGCATTTTATTTCGTCTTAGGTAAATGGCTGAATCTTAGATTCGTCAGTCAGAAAAAAATGTTCAAAATTATGCCACGAAGTACTGTTTTACTGACACAGCACATAATGTATGATACGGAAATGTATATTTGCTCTTGATTGTAAGAGCACAAATAGTATATATTTATAATATTAATAAAGTTAATCTCAATATATTTTAGTAACAATAGCTTCCAATATAATGCAATGAAAATGTAATCCAATGAAAAAATTGGTTTTAATACAATTTAGAGGAAATTTCAAAAATGCTATCCTAATACAAATACTATTTAAAATAAACTTTTATCGAATCCGATTTTACTACAATAGGAAAGTTTCCAGTTAAATTTTAATTTCCTTCTGGCTCCCTTCTGACCCTAATTTTTTGGCGCCTGATTATTGAGAACGAAACTGAAAAATAATAATCCTATGCATACTGGTTTTATGCGTGATTTTCAACGTAGAGCAGCGTGGCGTTTCGTTGTCACACATGAGAGTGAAATCCCTGCAGATGGAGCTATAACCCTGCCAGTGATATAAAAAATGTTGAATCAGCCCTACATGCATAAACTCTGATCTTGTCAAATACCTGGTTAGACGTAGGAACCTGGATGAAAAGGAAAACTGCAACTTGTCCTGAAAGTTTTTAACCTCTACACCGTCTACAACTACGTCATAGGTAGTGATGCGTTCTGGGAACAGCAAGACGCCATGATTGATTTTCGCTTCGATTGAATGTACCATTTGCTTTAAATTCTGTTTTAAACTTTTCAGTTATACACAAAATACAAGATATATAGGCTAATCAGCTATCTTTGTATTGTATGACGTGTGCTGTCTTCATACACCTGTGTTTGAAATTATCAGCAGCGCTTGCGTCAACTATTTCACAGCTAAAATACTCCGAGAACCTGATGACTTTGGTGCACTATGTATTCTTGTATGAGAACTCTTCAAAATACGCATACATTAAATAAACTTACCTCCAATGGAAAGTTCGATCAAATATGGCCGCTTAAATTTCCACAGTGCATCATTTCATGTGAGTTAGATCGTTGGGCTTGCTTTAGTTACCAAATTTACAATTCACAACTGCCGATGGATTAACTTTTGCAAGATATAGACAATGCTGTGGATGAAAGATAAATCCTTATTCAATCCACATCAGTCTATTTAAATATCCATATATGTTTAAAATAAATACACCTTATGGAATTAACAACGTACTGCAAAGTGACTAGGTTATGTACGTGTATATCAATACACACACCTGACAGATGCAGGTAACAACTGGTTTCCCTCTTTCTCCTGACTTTGAAGTATTCCTTTTCTCCGCAAAGTTAGGAGCCGCATTGGGTCAGCGTTTACCATTCCAGACTAATGACCAAAAAGGTTGTGGGTTCGAAGCCTATTACCACAGCAGTCCAGTTCGGCTGCTGCACTTTGTCCTGGGATTAGGGACTTTACTCTACTTACCTGGATACTTGCTACCCTGTTCTCTCTTAACTAAATTAAAAAGTAAAATATCATAAGGTTAAAAAACGAGTAATGTTAATAAAATAAAAGTAGAAAAAAAAATCTCTGAAAATCTTTGTTTTAATGTTTACGTTGCTTAGCTAATAGCATCACAAATATATTGTCTGTGTCAGAACAGTAAGATATAAGTCTATTTTCTAAGCATGCGTGTACTGTACTACTAATAATAATGCTTGTACTAATATTAATAATAATAATAGTACTAATAATAGTACTGGTACTACTAATAATAATGGATATATCCAGAATTCCAGTCGTGGCAATCACATCGTAACTAGCAAAATATTTTTTTTTTCTAAACAAGACCGTAAAGCTCCCAAATTACATTGCATAAATTGATTAACATTGCATCAACAACCTAATCAGACCCTCCCATCCCGACCCCAGTAGCTGTTCCTTTAAAACTTTTTAAAATTCAAGTGAGTAGGATTTTCGAAAATGTTGAAAATGTGAAATAAGGACAGAGACACAGTTAAACCTCAATCAAAGAGTTACGCAGTCTCTAACATTCTCCACCCAACTCCAACTCGCATATAATAGCAGAAAACGACAGTCCTGCATAGTGAAATTTTACGCAAACACTCCGTTCATCTTTAATTGACCTAGGTGTGACTTTCATTTTTACTACTTACGTCATCCTAACATTCCTCCATTCTTAATGGCGATTCGACGCTGAGTGTGCCTAGCATTATGAGCTGAGTAGAATGGAAAACCAGAGTACCAGGCTAATCTTGACAGGATATAACCCTATTGTGTTGATGATATTTAATACACCAGACACACAAAATAATGTATTGCTATTATTATTATTATTATTATTATTATTATTATTATTATTATTATTATTATTATTATTATTATTATCATTAATTATTATTATTATTATTATTATTATTATTATTATTATTATTATTATTATTAAATTGCAAGTAAGTTTAACGAGTTAGAAGCTTAATTGTGAGAATAAATTTTAAATGTTTTTCCCAAATGTGACACCGCACTCTCATCCTGATGTCATTCAGTTCAAGTTCTTAATGCTTGCACAGTTGACGGGAGAGGCTGAAAAGAGCTCAATACATTACTACTTGTTATTATGATGTCAACATGCATTTTCGTTCTAAGAAGCAACCGTAACATCTTTACGATAATGACGTAATTTATCACCCTCTTTAAGCGCTATAAGGTATCTACGGCTGAAAAAATATATACCTATCAAGTCAAAGATGACCTTTTAGTGTCTAAACCTTGGTATTTCGTAATTTATAAAGATTAACTGACTACATTCCATGTTGCCTCATCCGGTGTTGCATGACGATGTATTGTCGGGTAATAAGGGATCCATTTCTTACACCCGTAAGCGGATAGATGTCGCTAGGGTTTCTTATGAAATGTCGCAGCGCGTCTAGGTCACCGTTTTCCAATGAATAATCTTCTTTGAAGGGTAAAATCACGCAAAAGACACAGGAACTATTTAGCTACCGATTATAAAGTTAGTGTGACAGGAACGAATAAGATAAATAAACTCATTTGACCTATTTGACCATTTAAATTTGACCTTTTACTATTGGGGGGGGGTAACAAATATGATAGACAATATTTTTATAGTCTTTTTCTTTACAAATCAGACCTAGAGCGTTTCTTCAAGCTATTTCTGGTCATGATATCACAGTCCCCCCCCCACAGCATATGAAATCACGGCTTGACCAATAGTCCGACTCATCCCTAGCGAAAATTAAACGATCGGTTCTTTAGAACTTTTTGGATTGCGAAATCCAAATCCCGCAAGTATTCATTGCCTTCCACATGACTGGGTGCGGCATGATGTGACATGTATTAAACATGCTGCGCCAGTGCTAGACAACTGCCACACTGCAGACATCGTAGCGATATGACTGAACAATTGTTAATTGTTACGTTAAAATTCCAGATCACACACACACACGCAAACACATACACACGCACGCACACACACACAAGCACATACACACACGCGCAAGGTGTGTGTGTAATAACACAAAGGTTAATAAATTAGACAAGGAAAATAAAAAAGACTCCATATGTTTCGAGCTAAAGCAACGCTTTCCTCAGTAAAAAAAAAATAGAACATCCACGCGTAAAAAAGTAAATATTTGCGTTTTGGCAAAGAATCTAAAAACAAATATTCCTCCACCTAAAGGAAAAACATCGAAAAAATGAAAAATTATTAAATAGTCGGTCCCATAAAAATATTATTATGGAGTACAAAAAAGAATTTCGAATTTAATTGCCTTGTTCGAATGTTCATTATACTATTATTATAATTGCGATAATATATATATATATATATATATATATATATATATATATATATATATATATATATATATATATATATATATATATATATATATATATATATATATATATATATATTCTGCAGAGTATTATTGTTTTATTCCTTCTTTTTATTTAATCACGGTAATGAAACTTTACATACACGGTTTGAGAAATATCAGAAAATCTGGTGTTAACTGGCCGAGTTTCTTTGGCGGAAATGGAGATGCGATTTTTTTTTGTAGAGAAAATTACACTGCATTCACAGTAATCATTCATGGGATTGAAGCTAATTCGCGACAATTTTATTTTTTATT